CAAATATAACCTAAAAAACAAAAAAGAAGAATTAGCAAAAATGATTTCTATGCGAGCAACATTTATCTTTTAAGTTTTGGTGAAAAAGTAGGTTTTAATCCAATATTGTGTCAAACAAGTTTTAAATCTTCTGCTAAAAGAGGTGTCAAGAAATATTGTACAACGAACTATTATTTTCTTTATATAAAAAAAGGAAAAATGAGTTAGAGCTTTTATTTTTTGAAATGAAAATTCGTGTTTCAATTTGTTGTGATATTTGGAGTGATCATTGGCAAATGCATTCTTATATGAGCATTAAATGTCATTGGATTAATAATGATTGGAAAATTCAAAAAAGAATTATTGCATTTCGTGCTTTTGATGATAAACATACTGCAATAATATTTATAGAATAATTATTTCAATTTTAGATGAATATAAGTTGACAAAAAAATTTATTCAATTTCATTTAATAATGCTTCTGCTGATACTAAATCAATTATTAAACTTAAAAATATTTGTGAATCAAATATTGGTGGAAAATTTTTTCATATAAGATGTGCTTGTCATGTTTTAAATTTATGTGTACAGTACAAGATGGTTTGAAAATTCTTGAATATTTTATTTTTCCAAAATTAGAAAAGCTATTTCGGGAACCATCCCCGAGTGATGAAAATTGAGCTAAATTTTGTAAAGAAAATAAAAAAAGACCAAAAACCGTTTTTTCCAAGGGGATGTTCCGCAACTCGTTGGAATTCAAACATATGAATTAATTAAACGAGTCTTTTTCTTATAAAGAATTATTGTGCATTTTTGTTAACTAATAATATTGATGAAATTAATTTAATATTCCAACAAAATTGGGATAATTTGTGCAAAAATTTTAGATATTTTAAAAATTTTTAATGATGCTAAGCCTATAAATTTAGTGGGCTTTAATTACCCACATCTCATTTATTTTTTACTATGTGTATTAATATTGTTAGTGAACTCCAAAAAATTTGAAAATGATTTTATATTAAAAGAATGTGTTTTTTCAATGAAAAAAAAATGGTTATCTTAATTTTAAAAAATATACCACCCCCATATACCACCCCTTTATCTTGTTGCTATTGTATTTGATCCTAGATGTACAATTGATGTTTTATGTGAATATTTGACTATTTATTATGAGTTATTAAATCTTAATATAGAAGATAGTGTTAATATAAATGTAGTATTGCATGAAATTAAACAAAATATTATAGAATTATATAGTGAATTTGTTCAATTTTCTAGTTCATCTACTTCTGATTCTAATTCTTCTCAATTCAATATTCAACAATTTCCAACTCAAATGGTAAGTAGGGTTGGTGTTGCTGAACGAGTTTTATTATAAAGACAAAAAAAGACCAAGGGAACCTGGTTCTTTTTCTGAATTTGATAATTATCTAACCACTTCTTTTGAGTTTAGTGATGGTTATGCAGATAACAATTTTCTAATTTTAGATTAGTGGAGTCGTCATGTCAATACATTTCCAATACTTTTTTTAATTGTAAAATAAGTTTTAGCAGCTCCGGTCTCCACTGTTGCGGTTGAACGAGCTTTTAGTCAAGGAGGAAATATACTTGATGAAACACGATCTCGTATGACACCCGATTACTAGAAGCACAATTATGCGTGGATGATTGGAGCAAGGCCGAACTAAGAGCACAAGAAAATCTAAAAGAAAATGAAGATTTATATGATCTTTACGATGAGGGTGGTGGAATAGCGAAATAACGGTAAGAGGGGATGATTGGTACAGAAGGTAAGGGGTAAGAACTCACGTGGGCTTTGATGCTCACAGCATCTAGGGCATCAAGGGACGTGGCATTATCTTTTTTAATTAGTTCGCTTTTCTTTTTATTTAAAAAAAATTATGTTACAGACTTTTTACAAAAATAGTTCAATTGTAACGTTTTTTAAAAATATTAAGATTCAAGTCTTATTCAAAAAAAAAATAAATTGTAACATTTTTTTATTTTTTAGTGTATTTTATTTTTTAGAATAGATTTTCCACAAATTTTTTAAAATTTTGAAAACCAAATCTTCATTTAATTATCGTTCGTCGAAACCTGCTCGAAGAGCCGATCGGTCACCGTCGTTTGCGCGTGGAACCGAACCGGACCGTTCGGTTCCGAACTGGAACCGACGTTCGGTCGTCGAGGGTTCCATTTCTTTTGAGATAGTCAGAGGTGAGGCATATCAGTGGTGGCCTGCCATAAAATTAGGTGAGTGCAACTGTTTGATGATTTAGATTTGCTTTATTTTTTTAGTTAGTTTGATGATTATGACCTGTATAGATTATTATTTATGGTATTTTATTATTATATACTACTTAAATTAATTAAGTAGAGAGGAGGTAGCAAGGAGAGATGTACTCCTAGCGGTGCATACATACTATGTATAAGATTATATATTCTACTAGTATATATATAAGTAATTACTTTTTTTTATAAAAAATTTAATAATTATATGTTATTTTAAAATAATTATAAATAAAATAAATCATAACAAAGAATATTAATTTTAATTTATTCATATTGAGCAATTAAATTATTTTAAATAATTATAAATAAAATAATCATACAAAAATATTAATTTAAAAAGGATAGTAACTATATTTATGTGGTTAATAGAGTCCAAAACTCCCTCAATTCTGTTAAATTTAATAGTTTTAATTGTACCACAAATCCAATTTTTTTCTCCTAATAACATTAACTTAAACTCTAGTTATAATAACATCCTAATTTCAAATTGTATATAATTTAATAAATGAACATACTATTTTCATTGGATATTTTTTTCTTAGGGTTAGATTAACCAAAAACTTACCGTTTAACAACACCCTAACTAACATTGGTTGAAGATTTAAATTCATAAAAAGTCAAGTAAAATAATAAATTTTAGTTAGTAATAAACATAGAATATTATTTTATGTTTTTTTTTGTCATTTTTTAAACATGGAATTTTATTTATACTTAAGTTAAATCTCTTAGAAAAATAAGTTTCATTCATCCTGCGTCATTTTATTTTTAGAAAATCATTATTTCTTGTCAATATTATATAAATAAATAAAGGTATTTTATTTTGAAGATGAATAAAATTTTTTTATTTTAATATTTATTTATTTATAAACAATGGTATTGGGAAGGAGTTTGATTTGGAGAAAAAATTAAATTAGGTCCAATGAAAATAATACTTTATTCATTAAATTGGGTACAATTTAAGATTATGAAGCTATTATAACTAAAGTTGACGTTTCAAGTATTAGAAGAAGAAAATTAAATTTAGGGTACAATTAAAACTACCAGTAAAGCTTCAGGATTTTTTTAATGATTTAGATTAATTAAGAAGTAATTTAGTTAATGACATTTTTTTTTCTAAAATTGAGATCACTTAATATTTGATCGCTTTTTGTGCTTTATATAAATAAATAATGAACCTAACTCAATCAGAGTTCTTGTTTTTCTTCGATTATAGAAATTCCTGCATCATAATTTTAAGTATTTTGAGAACTGAACCGGTGAAGGTAAGAATTCACTGAACTGAAGGTTTGATTAAATTCAATACGGTTCAACCGAATTTTTATATATAATATTTTTAAAGCGATCCGATATTTTTATATTAGCAATAATTTTGAAATAGTATTTTTAAATTAAAATTGATAAGATATAGGTTAAAAAAACTATATATAATATTTTTAAATATATTTTTAAATAAAATTATAAATATAGGTTAAAAAAAACTTTGATATCAAATAGAAGACAATTTCAAATTTGGGTTTTTAAAAAAAATAAAAAATAATAAATAACTAAAAAAAATATGACTAAATTTTAATCCTAAAAAATTTAATTAATTATAATAAAATATATTATCATTTTTCACATGTGGCTTCAAAGTTAGATAATTTAATTGTTTGATTAATATATTAGGACTTTGGGTTTATAAATAAACAGGTCCAAAAACTAAAAAATTAGTGGGTTCAGCTTTTAAAAGCCCAAATTTTGAAAAAGCTCACATTTTATGGAAAAATCCAGATTTTGAATCCAATCAATTTTTAACCATCCGGTTCACCGGTTTTTAGACGGTTTAACCGGTTTTTACCTGTTCAAGCCGGTTTTTTACTGCGGTTTTCTTATGCAATCCGAACCGGAACACAGTCCGATTTCCGATGAAACCGGTCGAACCGTTCGGTGGGGTCCGGTTTTCATAACGATGCTTTTAACCTCAGTTTACAAAAGAAAGGAAAAAAATACAAAAAAATACAAAAAACGAAAAACCTCTCATATATATACTCTCATAAAATCGGTTAGCTTTTGGATTTCACTTGATTTTTTTTTTTTTTTTTCGTTTTCATAAAACTAACTAATCGCTGGCTGATTCTCTCTGTCCTGTGATTTTATCAACTGGGGTGTAGTTTGAATTTTGTGATATTTGTTTTTTTTGTTACAGAGTAGATCTTATTTTCCTGGATTATTTTGCTAATAATAGGGTTGCATAGGCCTTTTGACGCTTGATTGATTCTTTTATTATTGCTTTAGTTGAATAAGGGAAAAACACATTTGCATTAGCTTCAATTTGGTGATTGACATATATATTTCTTTATCTTTAATCGCAGAGCAAGTTTGTGACAGTATTTATTGGTAACTTTTAGTATTTTTACATTATTGATGATCTTTGCCTTTTAATGATGCCATTGCATATAAGAGCTTTAGTTTAACCCATTTTTCTTTATATAATTTGAGTTGCTTATAACAAGAATAATAAAAAACAAAGGAGGGTAAAAAAGCAAAAATCCATCTTGTTGATGTTTATGAATGTTTGGTGAAGAATTGTGTAGATGGTAGTTAGTAATTGGGTTATTTTTCTGCTTGACTGGTGACCTGCTTAGTTGCCCAGGGAGGTATCTCAGATATTACTATGGTTGGCTATTTATCTATCAATGATTGTTATAACTATATGTTCAAGTCGATTCCGGTATCACCAAGGACTGGGATGGGGAAGTTTATTACTTATGTTTGAGAATCTGTTTTGGAATTGCATGTAATGATCATTAAATGGCAGGTAAGTAAAGGAAATTTAGAATTAAGTAGACAAGTATATGTTCATGTGTTTGGTGGGATCTGGGATGGGGAAGTTTATTACTTATGTTTGAGAATCTGTTTTGGAATTGCATGTAATGATCATTAAATGGCAGGTAAGTAAAGGAAATTTAGAATTAAGTAGACAAGTATATGTTCATGTGTTTGGTGGGATCTGGGATGGGGAAGTTTATTACTTATGTTTGAGAATCTGTTTTGGAATTGCATGTAATGATCATTAAATGGCAGGTAAGTAAAGGAAATTTAGAATTAAGTAGACAAGTATATGTTCATGTGTTTGGTGGGATCTGGGATGGGGAAGTTTATTACTTATGTTTGAGAATCTGTTTTGGAATTGCATGTAATGATCATTAAATGGCAGGTAAGTAAAGGAAATTTAGAATTAAGTAGACAAGTATATGTTCATGTGTTTGGTGGGATCTGGGATGGGGAAGTTTATTACTTATGTTTGAGAATCTGTTTTGGAGTTGCGCATAATAATTGTTAAATGGCAGGTCGCAGGTCGGTAGCGACGGACATCTGTTAAATGAAAGGATGTCTTCTCAAAGCAAGAGGAGGGAAATAGATGTAATGAAATTGTGGGTGTTCTTCTTTTAATATCTCTGATCATTTCTAGCTCTATTTTTCTATTGTTCTTTTTTTCTATCTCTGATCACTTTTCTGGCTTCTTAGTGTTATGACATGGACATGCAATCTTTAGTCTCATCTCTGTGCCAGTATGTTTCAAACTATATAATTGAATTTCCTCTTATAGTGTGCTGGGGTTTTTCATTTGACTTTTTGAAACTTTAAATGTCATTATTCGGTGCTTTGTATTCAGATTATTTCTGTATATTGTTACCATTGTAATGGTGTCTCTGCTCTGTTGTTTTCTTGTTTTGCAGGATGATGAATGACTATGCTGTGGAGCTAATCAATGATCGGATTAATGAAATCCATGTGGAATTCCATGGGCCAAAAGAAAGTAATTTTCCTTCTCATTATCCATTCTACTGTTTCCTTTAACATTGTACTAGAGTCTAGAGACCCCCTCTCTCTTTCACATAACACATATGCACATATATGCATGTAAGCAAATATGCATCATGTTATATTAAAATGAAAAATGAATGGTAGCAAAATTTGGTGTCATATATCTGATCCTTTGCCTTATTGCCTGCAAAATGCTACAGGGGGTTCTTTCTTTTTTGTTCTTTTTTTAATCCCTAAATTTTGAACTGGACATTGTTATAAGGTTTTATTCATTAACATTTTGTAAATAATCTCAATGGTTTCAGGTCCTTATGAAGGTGGTATTTGGAAAATCAAAGTGGCGCTACCAGATGCTTATCCATACGAACATCCTTCCATTGTGTTTCTGAATAAAATATTTCACCCTAACATTGGTGAGAAGTAAGCTTTCCCGGAAACTTAACACTTGTCTTTTCATCTCAATTATATATTGTATAGCCTTGTGGTCTGGAGTTGAATGCTAGTTAATCCGTTTTACTGATCACACAACATTGAATGTACTGGCCTCTTTGTACTCTTTGAAAATCATTATACTTGGTTATACTCCTTGTTTGTCTTCTCTTTAATATTGCTTCTGTACTACGAAAAGGGCATTCGTAAATTAGATTTGACTAATTGCTAATGTCATGTTCTAATAAGCCGTTAGATTTGACAAAAACGCAGTTTTTTCCCTGTTGGTCATTTTTTTTTTGAGGCAACCCTTACTATAAAATGTTGAAATGCTGAATGATGATAACTGTCTTTTATTTATATGGTGTAGCATTTTTATTTTTTAAAAGTTTTCTAGCTTTTTTCCTTCTATAATTGACAGGTCTGGTAATGTATGCATGGATGTCATCAAGCAATCATGGAGTCCAATGTTTGGTAATTTCCAAATTATTTATATCCTTGATATAGTGATTAAACATACCTGCTCTTTCCCCATTAGTGTCTGCTGGGATATCTGTAATGTGCAATTTCATAGCAAACTACATCATTCAGATCAACCTTCATCTTATAGCCTGTAATCCACAACTCAATTCATGTTATGCTCTGGTTAGTGAAAACTATGTATATATTTGCTTATCATACACTATAAACTGTGGTTCTGGATTATTGGCTATCTTACATAAGCTGGCATTCTGACATCAACCTCCTTTATCTGTTTTTATGCTGTAATTTTGACACGAGGGACCTCACAGAATGCAACAGCTCTTGATAAATATGGATGGACATGTGATGGATTGCATGTTGTTTGTAATGCAAATGATTTTTCAAAGGGACCAATATGTGGGATTGTGATGGTAACAGAATAACTATACAGGATGGTTCACTCTCATCTCTCCTGAATTTTGTTAGCCTTTTATCTGTTTTGACAAGACAAAAGAGGATGATCATTGACAAAAATAAAATAAATATTCTTTTCTGTAGATCTATTTGAACTTGGCTCTTACTGGGTCAAGATCTTGTTCTGTACCCCTTGCAATTGGCCAAATTCATAAATTTGTCTTTTTACTCATCGCAAAAAACTTTGTGATACTTTAACTTTTACTTTGACTCATGAAATACTTCAAACTTATAAAATTATACCTATTAAATACTTCAACTTACAAAATCATTTTATTAAACACTTGAACTTGCAAAGTTAGATTAATTAAATACCTATTGATTAGTTGAAAAATGTGAAAATTATTATTTTAATAGTTGTACTAATCATTCATTAAATCAATGTTTTATATATAAAAGTCAGAAATCCTTGAATCTATTATTGTTAGAGTGGAAAGGTGTAGTTATTCTTTTATCAAAAGTACAAGGGTGAATTTATGTATTTAGTTCCTTGCAATCAATTTAAGATGCCATAGAGTTTTTGCTACAAATACAAAGGTAAAGTTGTGTATTTAGCCCCTTGCAGTAACAACTATGGTGAGCATAGATAAGTTTCAGTACTTGCGATATTGATAATGATGTTATTTATTTATATAATTCTCAATTTTATCATGTCTCACTGGATGGTGTTCAGTCTTAAATTATCTTTACTATGGCTTTCTGTTGCTGCAGATCTTTTAAATGTATTTGAGATTTTCCTTCCACAGCTGCTGCTTTATCCAAATCCTTCACACCCAATGAATCGTGATGCAGCATTTCTACTGACGAAGAAGGATAAGAAACAGTATGAAGAGAAAGTGAAAGGTGAAACCATTTTATATATATCTATATATTTGGGTTATTTCATGCTTGCAATTAAATTATCTGATTGGTATTATAAAAATTGGAGTACCAGGGAATTACTATTATCTCTCACTCCATTATAATTGAACCTTACTCAATATATGTTCCTCCACTTATTGGTTGATGCCAGATAATTATTGTAACAGAGTACTGCAAACTTTATGCAAAGAAAGAAAATATCAGCGAGACACACTCAGAAGATAGCAATGATGGTATAGCTGATGAGGACATTAGTGACGCAGAAAGCACATACAGCGACGAAGATCCTGAGGTGTAGCCCTTCATATTTATTTACACAATCTGTTTCCTATTTCCAGGTTTTTTTTTTTTTTTTTTTTTTTTTTTTTTTGTATAGCTGAATGAGGACATTAGTTGACGCAGAAAGCACATACAGCGACGAAGGATGCCTGAGAGTGTAGCTTCATATTTATTTACACAATCTGTTTTCCTTTTCCAGGTTTTTTTTTTTTTTTTTTTTTTTTTTTTTTTGTGAAGTAAGAGAGGACAAAAACTAAGTGTTAAATATACTTGGATAAGCTGTACCCATAACAATGTAGGCAAGCCAATCTAAAAAATACCAAAAGGAATGAAAAGAAGATGCAAGATTGGCTAGCCAATTTGTAAAAAATTTAGGGCGCGTTTACTGGTAGAAAATTAGAGTAGTTTTTTATAAAAATTTTTCAAGAAAATTGGAAAACAGAATTTCGCGTTCAAAAATTAGTCGGTTTTCTATTTGGAAAATTAAAAATCAAATTTTCAAATTTTCAAAATTTAATTAAGATTTGAAAAACAGTTTTAAATTGTTTTCTACGGGTTTTTCTTTATAATAAAATATATGTTTTTCAATTGTTTTCCATTTTTATAAAATGACATTTTCATAATTGAAGTTATAATATCTATTTGTATAAAATATTTTTATTGAATAAATAAAAATATTTAAATAACATAAAAAAAATTATATTATGCTTTAATATATAAAAAATTATATATGCTTTAATATATAATTAATTTATTATTATAAAATACAGTTTATAAATCTTTTATTTTAAAAAAATTTACCAAAAATGATAAAAATTGATTATTATTATTATAAATAATCGATAATAAAAATTTCAAAAAAAATAAATAATCGATAATAAAAATTCAAAAAAATTAAAAAAATCTAAATTTTTTTTAATATTTTATTTTAATTATGAAAGTTATGAATAATGTTTATGAAATTTTTAAATTAAAAATAAATTTTTATTGTTACTAAGTGAACTCATTTTCCATTTTCAGTTTTTTATTTCATTTTCTATAAAAACTATTTTCATAGAAAATAAAAAATAAAAAATAAAAAATAGAAAACTGTTGTCTGTAAGTAAAGACACCCCTAGGTTTCCTAGGAATATGAAAGCTGGAACTGAATCCTATGATTCAGAAGGCGGAGAATCTATTAATGTTCAAAAAATATTAATGTTCACTTTCCTTGTATTATTATCTTCTATGAAGTGCATAAATATGAAGATGTGAATAAATTAAACAGAAGTCAATCTACGCAAAAACATATCAATAATCTCACTACCTTAATGAAATACTAACAATTTTCACGTTCGTTCTAATCTAATTTTTTATTTTGTTGATTGAAGGAATTTAAGTTAAAATAATAATATGGTAATTTTTATTTTATCCGTTGCTAAATTGACAAAATCAAAATATATTGAGATTTTAATTGTATTTAGTATCTTAACAGGTGCATCTGCCATAATTAATCTATTTTTGGAATACTTGATATGTTGATCTTAAAAAAAAAAAAAAAAAAAATTAATAAAAAGCAAATTCATTTTTCTTCCCTACAATTCTTGTTTCTTAGTAAACTGGCTGTTATTAATTACTTATGCAAAAAAGAAAGGGTACCAACAGAATATATGATTATGAAACACAGATGAATTATAGAATAGGACATGAAAATAATCGAAATATCCAAGAGCTGCATCTACTTGTTATGAATTTAACAACTATAGATTTATTAACAGATAAACAATGTTTTTTTTTTTTTTCTTAAGAAAGGAAAACAATACTCATTTATAAATTTTTATGTATTGATTAATTATTATATATTTAGTCATAAACATACAAGTAGAATCTCCGTATCATATCTCAGTATCCATTGCGACTTATTGTCCCCTTGAACACATAAAGTGAATCTCCATTCTCCACACCATGCCATCGAAGACTACAATTATCATGCATAATTCTTTGTTTATGTATAAATAAATAATCATCTTGAGGAAGAATTGTTCTGCTCAAAAGAAGCTGCCTTAGATCATTAACGGTGCTGGTGTCCTTCATTTCCAAAGGAATACTCGCTGCATTAAGCAAAGAAGAAGAGGTCTGCACCATAATGTTTAACTTCTTTGTAGGAGGATCTCCTCTTAATCGAGACATAGTTTTAAGAAATACAGTAATTTCTGATAATTTTTGAATACCATACTCGCTTATATTACGAAAATCTTCATCTAGTTCTATACCAGAAAAGAAATGCACCATAATGTTTAACTTCTTTGTAGGAGGATCTCCTCTTAATCGAGACATAGTTTTAAGAAATACAGTAATTTCTGATAATTTTTGAATACCATACTCGCTTATATTACGAAAATCTTCATCTAGTTCTATACCAGAAAAGAAAAGTGATAATCTTTTAATTGGAGTGCCTTCAACTATATGGATTTTTTCTTTTAGGCTACGAACGCTATCGGTTTCATCCACTTCTACATTAATTTGCTTAGCTGAAAATTTTATTATGATTGGGAACTTTCTTTTGTTGTTCAACATAGGAGACATAGGTTTGATAGTGAGGTCAATTCTCGTACCTTCATTGACAATAGGATAATCTTCCATGTCTAGACCATCAACTAATTCCCATCCTGATACTGATAAAATTTGCGCGGTTGTAGGAACACCTAAGAGAAGTTCAATCTTTCTTTTGATTTCAAGTACAGATTCTTGAAAACCAATATCAAAATGAAATTCGCGAGCCCAAGCTACAATAACAACTCTCATTTTGTTGAAGAAAGAAGTTTCTGCTTATTGATTTTTTTTTAGTTTAATAACGGAAGTGATTAATTTAAATATAATGTCAATAATTCACGTTGAAGTAATGCTATTTGTATGGTTAAATTCATCTTGGAAGCATTTTGTGTATGGTTGGTGGTATTCATGCATGAAACATTTCTTCGTTGGAGAAAAAAAATAAAACAATCATGCTCAACCACCTCACTTGGTGCCAATAAAACGGAAGCTAATTGTATGGAATAGAAGGATATATGATTTCCAATCTGTATGTATTTATAATTTAATTTAAATTTATGGACTGAAATAATATTGTAGTTCCCTTTAAATAATATTCACTAAATTGGTGATAAACTTTATTGTGGAGAGATCTCGAGTTCGAGACCTCTCACTCCCTACATCTTCTACAAGAAGTATGAAAACCAACCAGACTATACCTGATTAACTATTAGTGAGGAATTTTATCAAAGATTATTTTATTGACTTATATATAAATGTTCAAGCCTAATCTAATTTTATAATTACTAAATTGTAACTATATGTTATAATCTTGATTAACTTTTTTATTCATTAGACGTGTAATGGGCCGAAATTAATATTACAATTCTACGTCATAATCTTGGTTAACTTTATAAACATTGGTGCTAGATTAAGTTAAAGATAAAAAAAAAAGTTGACTTAGAAAACCTTAAAAAACATATCTACTTAATTAGTATTTTTTATTCTCTGTAAAAGACATTATTAATATTTCTAACCTTATAAATATTTGTTCAGTGTTACTGTTAATATATTAATGTAATGTATTATTATATAAAATATTTTTAAAAAATCACAAACTTCAGAATGTTAAAATAATATTTCTTTTCCTTTATTTTTAATTATAGTTTTTAACTGCGGCCCAATTTAAGGTTTTGCTCCCAAATCATATGAATAACAATTGTTTAGCCCTTTAAAGATAGCATGTATTAGCGCTTGTTAATACATATTATCTCTGTTTCATAGTACTTGTCATATTTGGAATTTTACATTTTTTAAAAAAATTATTAAATTTGTCCTAATTACAATAAATAATTGAATAAATGACTATATTACTCTTAATTTAATACTAATTTTCTAAGAAAACTATTAAATTCAAGTAATAAATATTGGTTATATACTAAGGGTAAATATGGAAAAAAAGATTTATTACTCCTTGAAACCACAATTGTGATAAGCATTTTGAAACAAACTATTTTCTCAAATGCGATAAGTATTATGGAACAGAGGTAGTACATTGTACTAGATTGGAATAAAAGTCAATCTGGTCCCTGAACTTATTTAGCAGGATAAATAAGATCAGATTTGTCATTTTAAGCCAATTTAGCCCTTGAACTTGTATAAAATGATTAAAAAGATCCGATTACACTTTTTAAGCCAATAACCCCTGAATTTATTTCTTGTATAAAATGATTAAAAAGATCCGATTACACTTTTTAAGCCAATAACCCCTGAATTTATTTAAAATGATTAAAAAAATCATATTTAACATTTTGAGTCAATTTAAACTCTAATTCTTCGACATACTTATAAAGTGAAAATCATTATGATTAAAACAAAAAATCATATTTGACATTTTGAATCAATTTAATCTATAATTCTTCATTTTTCTGATAATGTGAAAATTATTATATAGACATTTATCAAAACTGTGGTTGACATCGAGCTGACTAATTTATCAAAAAAATAATTAATTATAAAATATAAAATATGATAAATGAAGTATTGTATCTCTTTTTACCTTGATAGTTTTGAGTTTATAAATATATATTAATTTGAACATTTTAAAATTAACCTCTATTATTGGCTTATCGCTTATGAAATCTATGCATTTTTCATGTTGAATAAATTAAAGTTATAATGCATATTTATAAATTTATTATATTACAAGAAATGATATTTTGTTGAATAAATTAAAGTTATAATGCATATTTATAAATTTATTATATTACAAGAAATGATATTTTTAAGAATTTTGAATTTATACTCATAAATGTTGAAAAAGTTTGATCTAAGTGTTCTTAGTGTAGGATAAAAAAGGATAAAAGTCAATCATGTTAAATTAAATAAATTATTAATTTATAAAAATCAAAACAAGTTCAAGGATTAAATTGGCCTAAAAAGTAAAATCGGATCTTTTTAATCATTTTATACAAATTTAAGAGTTAAATTGACCCAAAATATCAAATCTAACATTTTTTTTATCATATTAAACTTTACTCCTATCAGATTTTACTCTTATAAGTAACTTTCTTATTAGAAACATTTGTTAAGGAATCATGTGTCTAATCTACGATAATACTCATAACTTTTTTCACTTGTTGCAGAAGCCTCCATTTTGAAACTTGAATATATCAACATACCAAAAGCTAATTAAAATTGGAGTTTTAAACAAAAAAAATATTGATGTGATTCCTACACCATAATAATCTTGGGTTAACTCAATCCAAATTTAATTTCTTCATCTAAAATGATGTTGCATCCATAATATGAAAAAAAGAGAAAAATGTTCAAACCCTCCTCTCTTGATCAATCTAAACTACCTAACATCCATTGACCACCTTATCTTCAACAATATAAGGGTAAGTCTTTGTTTGGCAAGATTTATAAGTACCAAAAGCATGTTTATTTGGTCATAATATTCCTAACTAGCGAGAGGTCCCGAGTTCGTTTTTCCAAATGCCTCACTTTTCTATTTAAATCTATATATGAAAACAACCTAATGCTCTTATTCCACCCTGCATGAGAAAAAAGAAAATCATATATCAAGTAAATTTTTGGTGAGTTTGCAGTTCGCTCCTCCAAAACAACCCAATGCTTAGGCCATTTTAACAAGACCACCCATTTCAAGCCCAACACTGCACAATGAAGGTTGAAGCTCAAGTCAAGCCCGTGGTGAATGCAAGATCCATCCAAATTCTAACAAAATCCTCAATATTGAATCTGTACCATCATGGCAGCTTCACTAAGAGCCATTTCTTCTTCACTCACTTTTCCAATTAGGATATGAGGAATGCAAGTAGTTTATATAATTTTTTAAAGATTTGAAATTCAATCTGCCACCATGTTCTTTTTTCTATTGTTAGTCTTCAAAATCTAGTGCAGCAAAACAAAAAGAAGAAATGAGGATTTTTTTTTTTCCAATTGCAAGAAGAGAAAGATTTGTGGTTGAGGTGAAAATTTTGATCAAAAGAAGAGAGATAAAGAAAGAACTGGCGAGATACCGTACTCGGTTATTAAAAGCAGGGGTGATAGGTGGATAAGGAAGAGGATATATAAATTCTATCGGGGAGACAATTTGAATTTTTTCATCTGCTACAATTAACGAAGGGATACAAAGGGATTTCATTTTGTAGGATTAGTAATATTGTGGCCTTTCTTTTTCTTTTTACATGTTGTCTCATAAAAAATGGATCCTCTATCATCCTTGTCAATTTTTCAGCATGAATCACCATGAACCACTCAATTGCAAGTTTTAGTAATTTTTACTTATTCAATTACAAAATTTTTTTGATGAGACACCAAAATAAATAAATAAAAAATGAAAATTCAGTCGCTAAAGTTATTATTATTCTTATAACTTACAAGTATTAAGGCTCTAAATTAGGAAAGACTAGTAAGACAACATGTTTGCTACAAGCATAGATAGTATAGCTATCAATTTAGGATAGGTTTGGATTTTCAATTGGCTTAGTTCCAAATGAACAGATACCATAAATAGTAAATGGGTTTATAGTGAGTACAAAATAATAAAAGGATTGGGATATGAAGAATTTAAAATACGTGAATACTACTCATTGTTATCATTGCTCGAAACCAATTATTCTGCAAAGAAAATAAAATAAAAGCTAAACGACTTATACTATCGATCTGCATTGGATTGTCTCTACAATAGCAATATCTTTGTTGGATTAGGATACCAACTATTGTGGGTCCCTCCAACATGTGGGACCCACACATATTTGAAAAAGATAAAACAACATGTGGGACCCACACATATTTGAAAAAAAAAAAAAAAAAACACGTTTTTATTGTTGGTCAAAGAAAAAAAAACAAAAGAGAAGAAGAGATTCAAATGTATGGGACTCACACACGTTTGAATGAAGAAAAAAAGAAAGAAAAATGGACGCGTGATTAACGCATCCATTCGGTTGACACGTTAATGACGCGTCCCCTTCTTCTATTTTTCACTAAACAGTGTACAAAAATATAAGAACAAAGAGATCTACACAGTTAAATATAGAAAATTTTAGGAAAGAGTTTCTAAAATTGGAAAAGAGAAAATATAATGAGGATTGTAATTTTTGAGGTGTTTTTGGGAAAAAATTAGAGTGCCACTATTTTTGTATTCTCTTTTGTACCTACTATTTTTTAGTGGAAGAACTATTCGGAGTTTTTGTCCCGTAGACGTAGTCCATAACAGTTGAAGGGTGAACCACGTAAATCTCGGTGTTTTTATTTTTCATCTGGCATTTACAGTAATTATTACCGTGATTATTATTTCTGGTGGATTCGATTATTAATATCCAATACGAAATTATTGGAGGTATATGTGGTAATAGTGATTTTATTTTACTTTTACTAACGGTATTTTTCCGCGGGCCCTACTCGGATAAGTTATAATCCCCACACCAACTACTCTTAGACTACAACTAATAAACACAATGTTTAATGACAATTTGGGATTTATTCAATTAGTATAATTAAGTGTAATATGCATATTTTAATAAGTGCAGTTAAGGTCAACCCTTCTGCAAGTTGCCAGCATACTATTTGCCAACGTGCAATCACATAAAAACATTCCATTACGTACCGTATAGGACTTTGTTTTAATTATTTGGTATTGGATTAAGGATTTTTCTACAAAAACAGAACTCTCTTTTTGTGTCATCTTTTAATGTTAACCTAGTATTGCAAGTTATTAAGATTGGTTAAATTCAGTTATATGTGTTTTTTTATTATTATTTTATAACTTTTCCTTCTTTTTTTCTATGA